TGCTTTCCCAGGGTGAAACAAAGGTTTGGGCTGTGACTTTTTTTTAAATTAACAGTTTTATTGGTGTTTTAGCAAATTTCAATACATACAATACATACACAGCTTTATAATTTCAGACAGTAAAATACATATTGTTAGCAATATTATGCAAAAATGGGTATTATCAGTCAAAGTAGTAACAACTGTAAGGATCAGCTTGTATAATAAATCAGTTCAGAACATAAATCTCTTTCCCATTCCCTAAAGTATATCTAAACCCAGGTCAACAACCAGTTGTGGAATTTCACTCTGAGATGTGAGATAAGTATTGGTAGCCAGATTGTGGGGAAAGTGGGGTGCTCAGAAGGTTGAGAAAAACGTGTTAAATTGTCTGTAATTTTTGCCATGATGTACAGATTCCATATCTTTTGGTGCCATTGTGTGAGAGTAGGAGAGTTTGGAGATTTCCAATTCAGTGCTATAGTATTTTGAGCAGCATATAACAGTAAGGAAACTTGTTCTCTGATGGAATGTGAGTTGACTGTGTATTCAACAGGAGATCATCTGGTGTAAGAGTTAGTTCAACATTGGTAAATGACGATATGTGTGTTATGATAGATTCCCAGAAGGCATGCTATCCAGCAATGTAAGTAATCTCCTGGGATACCACATTTTTTCCAACACAGTGGACTAAGTTTGGGTGATGAGTGAGCTAATTGTTGAGGAGTAAGATACCAACATGAGATTAATTTAAAAGAGTGCAAATGTACATCTGTGATTTTGGAACAGAATGGAGTTATTTTCCATATATTGGTCCATGAGTCATTTGAGAGAGTTTGGCATTTGGGCTGTGACTTGATGGCCCCTATACCTCAGGGACCCAATGGGAAGGCTCCAGTCCTTCCTCAGTCTTGACAAATACCCAACCATAGTTCTAACTTCCAAACCTCCCTAAGAGTCTTTTAATGCAATAGGGGGAAACTCTCTACACTGCAAACATTGAATTTCTTTTTGAACTTGCTCATCTCTAGAAAGACTGAATTTCTGTTACTCTTGCATTCTAATGCCAACACTCCTTTCTGTCCTCATCATTGGCAAAAGGGTATAAAGGGTATAAAGAGTTACATCTTAGTCCCAGTATTTGTAACCAAATTGGACTCATCCAGTTACCCCAAATTCATGGTTGGCCTCTTGCCTCTTCAATCCATGGATCTGCTTTGCTGTGCTTTCCCCCACCTGGTTCGTTTTAAGCTCCTGACACTGCGTTATTGCAGTGGAAAACAAATTTCCTCCCCCTTCTCTCCAAGATCAGGCTTTTAAGTCCCCCTTTCCCCATTCAGTCTTATTTCCCTATAGGCAGACAGTTTATTAGGAAAAGGTTTTGGGAACATTGCATTTTTCCTTTCTGTAAACCTCCCTTTTGTCCTGCAAATCACTTAACTTAATTTGGGTTCTTTTTGGTTAATTAAATAAAAATGGTTTTCCTGTTTATGAAAAGGTTGCCAACCTCCAGGTGGGGGCTGGAGGTCCCCTGGAATTACAGCTGATCTCCAGACTACACTGATAACTTATCCATTTATTAAAAACATTTATTCTACTTCTCCTGGAGAAAATAGCTACTTTGGAAGATGGGCTGTATGATATTATTCCCTTCTGGGTTCTCCTCCCCCACCTTAAACCCCACCCTCCCAGGCTCCACTCTCAATCTCCAGGAATTTCCCAACCCAGAGTTGTCAACCCTAGTTTATGAAGCTTGAACAGTCATTATTTCAAGTGTTGGTCTGGATCAGGATGCTGGTATACACAGGGTTAAGACCCAAAATATATTTTAAACTACCCAAAATAAATGTGTTTGCTCCATGCTAGCAAAGGGACACCTTTGCACATTACAGGACCTTCATGTGTATGCTGATTTGCGCAACAAAGCAGAGATCAAGAAGGAGGTCCAAAGGAGCTTAGAAACTGGTGGCACAGTAAAAGAGTGGAGGGGGTACATTGGGGGTATATTGGGCTATGGGTACCCCTCTACTTATCCTTCCAAGTAGCTCATTTTTTCCTGCTTCTTACCTTCCTCCATCTCTGTCCCTTGCCCATGGTCAAAAAGAGAAGGAGTGAGGCTGATGCCCATTCTGACATAGGCTCATCCCCTTTCCCCCAAATCCATCACAAGGAAGGCTGCATCATGCTATTCAGCTCTTCTTCCTGCCTGCTCTTGCAAATCATGCCCATTTTCTCAGCACTTCTTTGAGTCGCAGTAAGAAGCTGGGTTTCTTTTTGGAAAACTCTTGTCTTCCATTTTCAGTTGTTCTGTACATTTCTGAATGACTGGAGTGTGCTGTATGAAAGATGCGCCTCTCCCCCCTTTTCCCAGTGCATTGTATTCCAGTTTAAAAGAAGAAGAATAGAATGCACTTGAAAAAGGTGATGGGAAAAAGTAGTGCAGTTTGAAATGAACAGAGCACTTCAGATACAGCCCATACATGGATGTAAAAAGGCTGGTTGAAACCTCCATCCCATGTTGCCTTACATGGAATTGGGCCAGCAATGGATAATCTCCAGGTTAAAATGACGATATCTAAGTCCGCATTCATGAAGAACAGCTATCTGTGTAATGCTGAGGCTGAAATGCTTGCTGATTGAGAATATCCACTTTACTGCCTTTTGTCTACAAAAACAATGGATTCTTTTTAGAGAGGGAGAGAAAGCCAAAGGGATGCCAAAAAGACTGTTTTGACTTAACCATGTTTGTTCCTTGTCTTGCCACTTTTATTGTGTTTCATTTTTAAACAAAATTTTTAGAAAGGATGTAGTGTTTTGAGCCATGTTTATTTTTATAGCAGGAGAGTTGATTCTCTATAGTATTCTTTCCTTTTTGGTGCATAAAAACTGACCAGTCTGGGTAACTGGATGACTAGCCCCAAAGGGTTGCCTGTGCTTCTGTAGCATCACATCTCCCCAAAAGGGACATCTGTGACAATTGGACTGGAGGTGTTTATTTGGTCTTTTACTTGACATAATTACTGCTTCATCTTGAGAACAAACACCAGGTTAGATTTCTAAAATTTCAGTTACCACATTGCGGCTCATAAATCAAGGTCTTAATGCTTAACAGGTTTGTTTATTTAGCTGTTTACTGTAGTACTTTCAGGGCATCAATCTAAAGAGGGAAGGATAAGCCAATGTTTTGTCAGATTATGTCTTGGAGAACAGTAAGCATACTAGACAAAAGAACAGCTGTGACCAAGGATTAAACAAACATTCTTCCACACATCTAATTATTCTCCCTACCCAATACCACCATGGCTTCCTCTAAGTGTTACTTCCATCCATACCATTCAAATCCTTCAGCATTATTGTCAGTTGTTCACATTTTAGAAACATCCAGGTTGGGCTACCGTAATGCATGCAGCTACTTTAAATTATTCAGAAATGACACTCGGCCCTGACTATAACAGCTAGATAGTTAACTGTGATAGCTTGCTGAGATTGTATTTCCCCTGTATTTTAAGTTCTTCACAGGCTTCCAAGTTTGTTTCTAAGCACAGTTGAAAGTACTGGTTTAAAGCCTTAAAAGGTCATAGACCAGGTAATACAAGATTGTTTACTAACAAATGAACACACTTGTCAATTAGTTCATCATCTTGGACCCTTTTCTAGGTGCCATAACAGTCATAAAGTAGGTTGGGTATTTTCTCAGATGGCACCTGGTGATGAAATTTCTTCCTCAGACAAGGTTCTCTGAAATCATCTCTGTTATACTTTAGATGCCTGGCTAAATCCATCCTGTTTACCCTTACTTTTAATAAGATATGCCTTAATCTGCATCCTGCTGTATCCTGCTTTACTGTTATTGTTTGCTGTGTCCTTGTTTTGCTTAACATCAAGATAGTGGAGAGATAAGATAAATGTCTTAAACAGTAAATACACAAATATTTTGCAAACTTTGGATACTGTTAAGTCCGTACTTAACAAAATAGTCAGAGAGTGATTTCAGAAAACTCAGGTTTATTCAGCTCTTCAATCGACTTCTTCTGACACGGTACAACTCCTCATAGCCCGAACAGCTTGTCCATTTCAGCTGCTCGGTATTTAAACATTCCGGGCTAATGTAGCCACACCTACTGTACATTAAACCAACCTATCAGGTTGTGCGCATGAACGACCAATCATAAGCGGTCCCGCTTACATACATTCAAATCTGATTGGCCACGATACTTTTCGGCGCGAATCCCTGCCGAAGCTTGAAGCTTTGCATGGCTTCTCTATGGGAGGATTTACATACCTCCTAATGCATTCAGGGCAGCATCTGAATACATTACAAATCCCTCCCCCCTAAGCAAAAACAACTACGAACAATCATAATCGCTCAGGTAGGAAGGGGCTCGTCTCGTTCTCTGAGACCGTCTAGGTGGACTCGGCTCAGGGCTAGATTCCGTCAGTGGCACTTCGGTTGGCTCTGGGACCTCAGAGCCAGGAACACTTCCATCCGTTACACTTAGTTCGAGAGGAGGGGTCTGCCCAGCCTCGGGAACAGTGCTGATGCCCTCAGGCCCGTCAGCACTCGCCTCCAGGGGAGGTCTCGGAAGGTCCTCGGGGTCTATTGACTCAGTTGGCAACGCGTTGGGTCGGTCAGTCGCCCACCGTTGCCTCAACTGGTCTACGTGCCTACGCCACTTGCGACCATCAGCAAGTCGTACCACATACATTCTGGACCCAACAGTTTCAACAATAGTGGCTGGGAGCCACAAGTGACCACTGGCATAATTTCTCGCATACACCTTGTCATCTTTCTCATATATGCGTACCTTCGTTTGTTCACTCTGCTGTGGTGGTTTAAGGTCATTCAGGTCCGGGTGCAACCTATCTAATAGGGTTGCCAGCCTCCGGCCCATCAGCATTTCGGCCGGACTGCGGCCAGTTGCTGAACAAGGGGTAACATGCTGTCTGAGCAAGAACGAAGCTAGCTTTACCCCCCAGTCACCATAAACCAATTTACTCAGTGCTTCTTTGGTGGTTCTTACCATTCTTTCCGCCTGGCCATACGAAGCCGGGTGGAATGGGGCCGATGTAATCTGCCTGATTCCGTTATCAGCCAGAAATTTTTCAAACTCCATAGATGTAAATTGCGTCCCGTTATCACTGACCAATACATCGGGTATACCATGGGTCGCAAACAGGCGCCGCAGCACATTGATGACAGACCCGGAAGTGGTGGAATGCATGTGCGCAACCTCCAACCATTTCGTATACGCATCAACAATAATAAGGAACATTTGTCCCTGAACTGGCCCCGCAAAATCTAGGTGGAGCCTCGACCAAGGTTTTCCCGCCGACTCCCAACGCTGCGGAGTGGCGGTTGACGGCTCAGGCCTAGCCTGCTGACAGGGCTCACACACTCTGACCCAATCCTCGATTTCCGCATCAAGCCCGGGCCACCACACATAACCACGGGCCAGTGCCTTCATGTGGACCATGCCTGGATGGCCCTCATGGAGTGATTTCAGCACTTTTTGTCTGAGGCAGTGAGGCACCACCACCCGGTTTCCCCACAGTAAACAGCCCTTAGACACAGACAGCTCGTTTTGGCGCGCTTTGTACATGCGAAATTCCGGCTCCATAGCACCCATCGGCCACCCCCTCCAAACCCAGTTAAGAACTCTCGCAATTACACTGTCCTTAGCCGACGCAGCGGCAATGTCCTTGGAGGTGATGGGTGCTTGCGGCAGTTCTTCGATGGCCAACACAGAGGCCGTTGGCGCAGGGTCCAAATCTCGGCCGGGCAGCGGGCAACGACTTAATGCGTCCGCATGTCCGATGGCCTTGCCCGGCCGGTGCTCCAGGTCATAGTCATAGGCCGACAAAAACAAGGCCCAACGGAGCATTCTGGCAGACATTATATTTGGAAGTTGCCGGTCCGGGGCAAAGATTCCAAGCAGCGGCTTGTGGTCCGTCACAAGTAGGAAATGTCTGCCATACAAGAAATCGTGAAATTTTTAACTGCTGATACCAGCGCCAGTCCCTCTTTGTCTATTTGAGCATAGTTCTTCTCAGCTTCAGATAGCGACCTTGAGTAAAACGCGACGGGGGCCTCCCGTCCGTCTTCCAGTACATGACTCAATACCGCCCCCACCCCATAAGGAGAGGCATCTGCGGCCAAGACCAACAATTTCTGGTCATCGTAATGGGTCAACACTGCATTTGATGACAACAATGATTTCACCCCTTCAAACGCCTTTTTTTGTTCAGCACCCCACCGCCATTTTGCGTCCTTGTGAAGGAGCGCATGTAAAGGTGCCGCCACGGACGCCTTGTGGGGGAGAAAGGCGTGATAAAAATTGAGCAGCCCGAGGAAGGCTTGCAGCTCTTTTTTATTCATGGGGCAAGGGGCATTTTTGATAGCTCTCACCTTCTCGTCTGTGGGGTGTACGCCATTTTGGTCCACTCTGAACCCCAGGAATTCCACGCTATCCACCCCTATCAAACATTTGGATTGTTTTACTTTCAATCCGGCCTTACGGAAACGCTTGAGCACTTCTCTGACCCTGTGCATAAGTTCCTCATCGGATCTCCCAGCAATGAGAACGTCATTAAAATAAGGGACTGTCCCTGGTACCCCCCTCAACAGCCCTTCCATGAGGCCCTGAAAAATCCCTGGGGCCACGTTCACACCAAATTGGAGCCTGTTTACTTTGAACGCCCCCCTGTGTGTTACAATGGTCTGTGCCTCAGCAGCTTCCTTGGTCACGGGGAGCTGCTGGTAAGCCTGGGCCAAGTCGAACTTCGCAAAAACTTCCCCCCCCCCCAACGATGCCAAGACATGGCTAATTACCGGTACTGGGTACGAGTGCTGCTGCAATGCCCGATTTATGGTGCATTTGTAGTCAGCACAGATGCGTACTGACCCGTCCGGCTTAACAGGGGTCACAATGGGGGTCTCCCACCGACTGAAGGGAACTGGCTCTAACACGCCCTGCTCGATGAGCTTGTCCAGCTCTGCTTCAATTCTGGGCTTAAGAGGAATAGGAACCTTCCTATACTTGAGGCGAACTGGCCTCACGGCAGGATCAAGTTCAAACGCTACTGGGGGTCCCGTATATTTTCCCAGGCCACCCCCAAACACATCAGTAAATTCCTTATACAGTACAGCCCATTTATTCTTCGTTACACTATTAATGCCAGAAATAGCAATTCCCAACGGTTCAAACCAGTCAAGCCCCAGCAAATTCACTCTGTTCCCCTCAGCCACCAACAATGAAAGGGTCGCCCGCTTCCCCTTAAACTCAACTTCAAACGTATCCCTCCCTGCCAGAGGTATACGCTTGCCCTGGAAGTCGGACACTTGTGTGTCTGCTGGCTTCAGCCGGCGACGACTCCTGGTGGGGAACAACTGCTGCCACGACTTGGACGAAATCACGGTCACCGACGATCCCGAGTCGACCTCCACACCGCACGGAACGCCGTCTAGATGGACCGTCACGTTGATCTTGCCTGTGCCTCCGATTCGTTGGACCGAAGGTGCGCTTGATCGTACGACCTGGCAGCTGGTTTCATGCTGTGCGGCTCGGGAACGTTGCTACCTGGGCTTGTTTGAGGGCGTTGAAACTTTTGGCGCTCTGCAAGCACGAGCGATGTGGCCCCGCCTTCCGCATGCTCTGCAGTCGACGTCCTTGGTCCAGCAGCTTTCTCTGGAGTGCTTGCCGCCACAGCCGGTGCAAGGAGGAGTGGGCGAAGTCCTCACTTGGGTCCACTGGTTCGTAGGCCCTTTCACAGCGCAGACGTCTTCAGCCGCGCCCTCACGCTCTCCTTCGGACCCCTGGTGGTGAACGCGAAGCTCTGTTGCAGCCAGACGCTGACGCACCTCACGGGTCGATTTGTCCGCTGTCTCCGCTGCGATGGCTTCATTGTAGGCGTCGGCCCAGGTCAATTTCGCCTTTGCGAACAGGCGCTGCTGAAGCCGCTCGTCCCGCATGCCACACACCAGCCTGTCTCGCAGGGCCTCCTCTACGTCGGCGAAGTTACACGGTCTGGCCGCTTTACGTAGAGCCGCTACAAAATCGGACACCGTCTCGTTGGGCGCTTGGTTCCTCTTGAAGAACGCGTGCCGGCTAGCGATCTCCGACGGTTGCGGGGAGAAGTGTGCCTTCAACTTCTCCGTCAGCTCTTTGAACGGCACTGTTCCGATGTCCGCTGGTGCCACCAGAGACCTGGCGACATCGAACACGCTCTTGCCACAAGAGCTCAGGAGGGTGGCTCGCTTCTTCTCCTCCGTGGTGATGTCGTTCGCTTCGAGGTGGAACCCGAACCTCAGCAGGTAGGCGTCCCAGTCCTCGGTCGCTGGTTCGAATGCCTCGAACTTCGGGCTATTGGCCATAGCTGCGATCGCTGCCACCGGTGCTGGTGGTGCCTGTCGCTGCTCTGCCACGGCGAGCTGCTGCTCTTGGTTGTCCGTCGTTGGGTCGGGACCAGCGGGGCTGCCTACCCGCTCCTGGATCCCATCCTCGTCGCCAATTGTTAAGTCCGTGCTTAACAATAATAGGCAGAGAGTGATTCAGCAAAACTCAAGTTTATTCAGCTCTTCAATCGACTTCTTCTGACACGGTACAACTCCTCATAGCCCGAACAGCTTGTCCATTTCAGCTGCTCGGTATTTAAACACTCCGGGCTAATGTAGAAGCTTGAAGCTTTGAATGGCTTCTCTATGGGAGGATTTACATACCTCCTAATGCATTCAGGGCAGCATCTGAATACATTACAGATACCCAATGTGAGATTAATATTAAAGTAAGATTAATTTGTTCCTCTCGTTTCCCAGGGATGGTGTATAAAGAAGAAGAGAAGAAGACTCGGGGGGGGGGGCAGCTAGAAGATGATTAGGTAGGATAAAGAGCAATGCTCCCTCTAAGCTGTGGAGTCTTGTGAGCAAAAATTCTACTTTGTGAGCTACTGGCATTAAAGTTATGAGCATGCAATTTGGCTGCTGCATAAATTAGTTTGCTCTGGAGCCATCCTTCCTGAGCTAAGACAAAAATGTGTGAGCCGGAGGCTAAAAAACTGTGAGCTAGCTCACACTAACTCCGCTTAGAGGGAACACTGATAATGAGGTCAGCACCTTCTCTTCTGTTGAGGGCCATTCCTTGTCTGTCTCCAGAAAGCTACTCTTAGGGCAATTTCCCCCTTCTCAGAAGTTCCACACTTAGTCTGATCCTCTCTCTCAGCTAGTGATACAGTTGGGACCCTATCTCTGTCTCTCCTCTTTACTATCAAGTATATTTATTCTTAAATAAACCTTTATCTATGCTTCAGTCAGGTTATGCATATTTCCTGTGCTAATCACTCTGCCAACACAGGTTGTTCCAGAAGTATGTAGATTTTAGCTTGCACAACCAAACATATTCTAAGTCACTGGGCATTTTGAGTTTCTGACCTATATACATCTGGGTACGAGTCCAGTATCACCTTACAGACACACAAGATTGTCAGGGTCTGAGTTTTTGAGAGTCAAAGCTCCCTTCGTTAGATACAAGTTGCAATAGGAATCTCTGAGTCAGAAGGTGGGAGGGGGTGTTACAAAGAAGCGTCTACAGCCAAGCTCTGCTACAGCTGCACTGGCCCATAGCTACAGTGGGGCATTTTGTGGCCATGCCCCCTCATGCAACAGCCCCACCCCACAAATCCTGCTGCTAGAAACCCTCCCTCCCTACCTGTGCATGCGCCACAGAGGAGCTCGCCTTGCTGGCCACAAGGCTGAAGTGGGCAGCAGGTGGTTTTCTCCTGTGCAGGCAGGCCAGGACTGGCATTTTGCTTCAGCCAGTGGAGGGAAGGAGCATAGTGGACAGCGGGAAGCCAGCCTCTTCTTCACAGCCTTGCTGCTTGTGCCTTTGCCTACCTTCGCCACTGCTCTCAGGAGCTCACTGGATGTGCCACCGGCCACCTCAGCACCCACCCACCCACCTCTGGGCAGAAGAGCCACTGTTTCTCCTGCTGCAGTCAGCTGGCATGAAGGGGACGGGACCTGCTTCACTCAGTTAAAAAAGTCTTTCTGTTTTGAGTCAGCAGAAATCCTGCCTCAACTGGGGGGAGAGAAGCAGGGAAGTTGCAGTTCCGCCCCCTCGTGGGGTGCAGGGTGGTTTCTAAGTGCAAAAAGTTCTCCTTGCCCTCCCCTCTCTCTCCCCTGCCCTCCCAATTTCCCAACGCCTCACCAACTAAAATTTTAATCCCGACTTGTACCTGACGAAGCAAGTTTTTATTCTTGAAAGCTCATACCCTGAAAATCTTGTGGGTCTCTAAGGTGCTACTGGTATCTAGCAGTTCCACTACAGAGCACCATGGCTACCCTCTGAAACAAGATACACCTGGTTCAGTGTTCCCTCTAAGCTGAGTTAGTGTGAGCTAGCTCACAGTTTTTTAGCCTCCAGCTCACAAATGTTTGTCTTAGCTCAGGAAGGAGGGCTCCAGAGCAAACTAATTTATGCAGTAGCCAAATGGCTCATTCACAACTTTTATGCCAGTAGCTCACAAAGTAGAATTTTTGTTCACAAGACTCTGCAGCTCAGAGGGAGCATTGATCTGGTTGTCCTTTACAGTTGGGAAACACTGGGAACATGTATCAAGGGAGGGAGAGGCAAATGGGTGGTAGAAAATGCCTTTTTGCTTTATTGGATGAAGGAATGGAATATCGTCAGCCTCCATTTGATGCAGTTTATTTATTGGCTTACTCAATTGTGTCTAGAGTGCTGGTATGTGGCCATGAGCTTTTATAGGCTTTTTAAAATAATAAGCACCATGCCATCAATGAAGCAATCTGTTGCTGTAAATAAATAGTGCACAAATAGAAGTTCATGCATTAAAGCTCATTCCAGTTAAGGAGGCAGACAGATGAATGAGTTTGGGATAAAATTAGAATTTCCCTCCCACCATGGGTTCTCAGACTCTATTCAAGTCTGAACCAGATAAAATCTTTCCTTTGGATGCTTAAGTTCACTCAGATATTTCCTGGCATTACTCTGCACTTGGTTAATTTTAAGTACAGTGGCAGGAGATTTCTTTTTTGAGGAGAGGCAAAACAGGGTGTTTTTCCCCCCTCATTTTTTTTTTGGTCCTCTCCAGCATTCCACTGCAGCAGCAGCTGCTTCCACCTTTTCAAGAATGTAAAATACTTATGAGCTTGGATGCTCCAGAGTGCACGGTCATATACATGAAATCCTGCCACCTCCATAAAACATGCCATACTGGGAATTTTTAGTGGAATTAGGCCTACCAGCTGGCTCCTTAAAATGCACAACTAGGGGAGAGGGCCAGTCAGTCACCCCTTGAGAGCCAGACAAGCCATCTGGCTGCCTGCTGAAGAGAAAAAAGAACTCTGTTGGGTGCTTTATTGAGACTGGAGCATGCTGTGGATTTCTGGAATACGGTTGTGGTTACTCTGTTTTGTTTTTAGGTCGGCTAATACATCTCACATCACAATAAAATAAAAGTGATGATTTCCCGTCTGCACGGCTTCCTTTTGCCATATATGCTGACAGGACAGTTTTCAAGTTCCACAGTGACTGACAGGCTGATAATGTATCCATTAATACCAAATTTCAGTCTTCTTGGCGTGATTCAAGTCTGCTTTTGTATAAAATACCAAAAGATCTATACACTCTTTATTGTTTTGCTCCTCTGTACTTCCAGGTTTTGGTTTCCCTTAAGGATTTACAAGATCATCAAAACAGTCTGTGAACATCTGTATTTTGTCTTACACTCATAAGGGACTTTTCATTGGAGAAGCCAAATGTAGTGCTTGACAAAATTAAATAAACAATTTAAAAACAAAGCAGTTAAACAATATTTGTATCTTGCTTTTGTATCTTTCTGTCCAATAAAGGTTGCTCACATCAATAAAACTTAAACAATTCAATTAAAACATTTCAGACAATAGGTCATGGTTACAGACAGTGGATATCTATATATCTGACAGCTGGCTCCCATGCAGATAGACAAATCAACACATCCACAGCTATGATGTAGTTTTCAGCAAACTCAGGGGAACCCTTGGATTCACAGAAAAAATGTAGCTTTTATACATGAGCTAAAGTGAGAGTAAAACTGTTCACCAAAAGTTCATAGCAAAAAATTATCTCAGAGTTTGGATGACAAAGTGGTTTGTGAACACATGGTGGCAGCAGACTGGGAGGGGAAGCTGGTGCTGGTAAGGAGGTTATTTTGTGGGGGTGGCAGTGAAGAGGGCAAGATATGGTGAGGGGAACAGGAGGAGAAGCTGGAACCAATGGGTAGGCTAGTAGGTAGAGAGAAGCTGAGATTGAGGGGAAATAAGAGGTAATGGCACAAAATGGGAAAAATTGGATTTCTGACTTATTAAAACAGAATCGCTATCACTGGCTCCAGTTCAAAAATCCCACACAGTGGGAGCTGGCTATATTATTGCACATGGCAGTCTCAATCAGCTTACATAGTAAACGTGGTAGAAGTTCTCAACTTTGACAGCATTGATCTTATGTTTAAATATGAGTAACCATCTTTTAGGGGATGGGGGTGCATACTCGGTCCAGTGTGAAGTGTCTTTTGTTACATCTTCAGATGCAAATCCTAGTATAGAAATTGTCTTCATATTTGGTCTCTGTGTAGAAATATGAATATTCACAGATCTTTATTTGGTGATGAGTTTGTTGCCATCATCAGTGCTGCGAGTTACAACTAACATTTGTTCAAAGAGAGGTTAAGAATACAGCCAAATAACCATCTGTAGTTATAAATGGAGTGATTTTTGTGTGATTGTAATGACAAGATAAAGAGGAAAGTTTAAATAATAACCAACCAACCCCCCCCCCCCCGAACCTGTTGTATGTACTGGAGCACCAGGCAATGGTGTATAGTCTATGTTCTCAAACTTTGTATGTTATACTGGAACTCTGTTTGAAGCTGCTTATATGTTGATGGAAATGCAAGTAAAGAATTTCATTCTTTTCA